ATGTTGTTCTTATTTAAACTCAAACATTCAAACCGGTCTGCAAGTATGATACACGTCCAAAGCGTACCATACTGCTGTTTCCGTGTTGCTCCCGTTGGACGCGTGACTACTGAAAGTTTCAATTACAATTAGTGGTGCAAACCGCTGGTATGTTTCAAGAGGTGATAGAAGGTCTGCTTGGCTTACATTATGCATTTGACCATTGGCGTCTTGCAGTGAAACTTTTCCAATCTTTCGCCTCCTACATTTCGAAGTGAGAACTACTAGAAGGAGGATAGTTCCAAATTTTCCAAATAAAACAGACGATTTTTGGGGCAAATCGGTCCATAAAGAAAAACTAATAATTTTCCGTGTAAATTTTTGCTTGAATCGTGTAAGAAAACGTGTTTGAAAACTAATTGTTATTATTTCGGTATGGATCGGAGATGTTTTCATGGAAAATTATGCATAACAAGTTTGCACCCACAGGTAGAGGTTACCTCCTGCGCAGCTGCATTTTTCGGAAAATGGTGAATATGTGCGATTTCCACTAGGACGAAAGTGGAAATTAAGTGACTTTACTTAGGAAAGATTGTATCATGCTGGTGATAATGGAGAAATGGTTGTATAGGACGCCAATATTCAATAAATGTTCATTTTGGCCTTTTCTAAGCAAACATATTGATACTCATAATTTTCGACGGAACACGCAACGGAACTTGATTTACTCAACACGCACCATACTAGAAAATGGTGCTAGATAGTTTTCAAAGTGATAACAAGATGACAAATCATCTTTATTTTGAGTAATTGAGCAATTTACTTCTGTTTACATCATATTTACGATGCAGCATTGATGGAGCCGCGAAATAAAATGAATATATCTTATGAAAGTTCATTTGGAAAAGTCAAAGATGCACATCAGTCTGATGGTAAAAATGTTTAATAAAATAGTGCATTCATGGTCACTTGTGGTCTGGAATATAGAAGTACAGCTATAATGTGACCATAAAATCTATAAAAATCCAAAACGCATTTTTTTTAAATTATTTAAACCTGTGTCGTGCACAGGTTGCACATGTGGACGCGACGCCACTGCTATTAACAAGGCATTCGTTAACGCCGTTTCCTATTGTACAGTCCCTATTAACCGTACTATAGGAATCTTGACTGTATGACGTTTAGCAGCTGTTCATCTACGTGTGTTGTTGTTGTTTACTAATTGATCAACAAGTTAGTGTGCCAAATGTTGTTTTCCAAATCATCAAAAAGCACGACATTTTCCAGGAAAAGCGCAAATAGATCTTATACAAAAGGTGCACTAGGTATTCTTACCTACACAGCAAAAAATTAATTTTGATATCACGTCAAAGTGGATGCACTTCAATCGTGTGAAAAATATGGTGTAATATTACTTGCCAAAAATGACAAAATTTATCATTAATACAGTGCATGAACTGACATTACGCTGCTTTTACTGCATTTGTTAATTTTTGTGGCCATAAAAATTACATGAGATTTTCGATGTTATATTAAATTTTTTTTTTGCTGTGTACCACTCAGTAAATTGGAAACATCGGAACAGCCCAAACTCCTTCCGGAAGTTTGGTGAGGTGGTTACCTTCCAGAACATACCAAAATCTGGTCGAAAACTTCGAACTGTGTACTGAAAGTTTTCTCCAATTTGCTTTTTGAGCGAACGGCCTTCTATGAGCTGCCAAAAGCTGTAGATAGTCAGCTTCGACAGATTACGACAAGATCTACCACCGAAGCCTAGTCCAAACTACTTCAAACTAGAGGAACATGGTTGTTTTTGTAATCATAGGAACACATCTTAGTCCTTTTTACTTTTATGCTTTATTGATAGTGACAAGACTCGGCTTTGTCCACCGAGGATGATCTTGAAACAAGGAAAAAAATATCTAGGTAGTTATTTTTATTCTACGTGATTCCAAATCTTGTATTCGCTGTTCTCTAGTTTGTTGTGGTTAATACTAGGATTCCGATGCATGAGCGATTCCAGACAAATTCGCAAAACCATCAATTTCCGTATATTTTTATTTTGTTGAAACTTTTCAGCAACGTTCCTCATGACTAAAAATGCTATTTTGCATCTTCAGATCACCATTTTATCAAGGAAATCGAGCGCTTATTACGTGGACGACCGATCCACCTTTGTTGGATCCCTGGTCATGTCGGAATCCACGGTAAGGAAGAAGCAGACCGACTGACCACTGGTGACCAGTGAAGGACGAAACAGTTCACCAATCAACATCGCCGTACCAAGGAATGATGTAATCAAGTATATGAGCCAAGTCTTTCATCAGCAATAGGAAGTACGTTGGGTAAAAACGTAGAAAACAAAAAGAGAAAGGCGTACTAGTAAAAATATTAATATTATTCAAGCAAAAAAAGGAGGCCGTAGGACCAGGTCTCCAGTGAAAAATCACTGTCCATATTGCATCAGGGTACAGATATCCACCTGACATCACAGAACAAAAATCATAGGGGTCAAATGCATCGATAGTAAGGACAGTTGATGAATATATGGGATAGTCAAGGTAACTTGTTGGAAAATAAAGAGGTAGAGATGGATGATTTGAAATACTTATTCAATTTTGTGTGTTCAGCTATGTAAGCATATGCACAGAAAAAAAAGTATTTATAACGCGTCTCTAGCTAAATTTGAGCGTATAAAGACACGCAAAAATAGAATAAAAACACAGAAAACACGTTAATTTTTTTTTTTTTTCCTTTGATTTGTTTTTTTCGTCGATCTTGTTTTCCGTGCTGAGCACCAATGCTACCGACGTGCCAGGAAGGCAGCTCCCACACCTGGACCCTACCTATCGACTCATCAACTCATGAACCGGGGACCAACGGCTTTACTTCCCATCCGAAGGAAGGCGTGATCAGAGATGTTATGCCTCAGAACATCCCGGCGGCGCCGACTGGGATTGAACCCAGGCCTGCTGGGGTGAGAGGTAATCACGCTTACCACTACACCACCGGCGCCGTTAAAACACGTTAATAAATAAATAAAAAAAAAATCTACAAAAAAAAAATCTAAACAACAGTTGAAAAGAGTGAAAATATTAAAAAATAATGGAATAAAAACTATGTAAATTTCAAACTAATCTACTACAGAATGTACAAAAAATGCCTTAAATTACTTGCAAATGCTAAGTAACAATAAAATAAGGGTAATTGAAAATTATTTGAATGAAAATTCCTGTTTACTTTGCCGCCAACATTCAACAATTTTGACTACGATTGGATCGTTTCGAGATAGTTCGAGATATGCATAAATATTAGAAAAAGATTAAAGTCAAGTTAGGTCAAGCTATAAAAGATTCAATACAAACAGGTATGTGGATGTAAATGGGGAGATTTATTCTACATATTTAAGGCCTAGTTGCCTTCCTATGCGGACCCCCCGTATTCTATTCTTCCCACGAGATCAGCCTAAAAGTAAAATGTATCTCTATCTCCTGATTATGCAACCCTTCTACATTCTCCTTCAAAATCTATCCTGCATTCGTCCGTCTTAAGTAACACTTTTCTGTGATAAAATGCTTCATTCCGAGATTAGTCTCCTATCTAAAGTATATTTTGTTTAGGGTGAGTACTTCCATCATGGCCACCTGACTCCATCCCAACACACCCTGTCATGGTAAATGGTATTCCCAAATGCCACAACCGAACACATAACAGGACACATAGCCATAACAGAAGCATTCACTTTTTTCGAAAATGAAGCAATACATAAATTATTTATGATACCACCTGCAATATTGGTATTTTTTGGTTATTCATTACTGACAATGAATGAACAACAATAAAAATACGTCACGCAATTAAAAAGTACCGTTCCGATTCAAATTTCGGACGATTCAAATTTCGGACACTTTCATTTTTAATTAAATATTACATCCAGTTAGAAACAAAGTAATAATGTTAAATGATCGTGGAGGGCACTAGTCAAAAAAAATTAAAATTTACAAGACATGTGGATCATATTCGACCGATAATCAACTTTTAAAAGTGTCCGAAATTCGAGTTTAAGTGTCCGAAATTTGAATCGGCACGGTATTTTAGTCGTTTTCCCTAAATAATTTGGAATCAATATAGAATGTATATTATTTAATCTAACTAGTATCGTTAAATTTAAGATTGGATTGCGGCAAAACGCGCCACTATTATACCTGATGTCAGTGCCTTTATATAAACGTACTACGACGTGGCTAAGAAATGAATGAGAAGAATATGTGTGTTGGTCTCTCATGCAGGCCTACAGCATGAAATTTAGCTCTCCCACCTTCGGCAAGGTGCTTAAGAATGGCCTGCGGGAAGGCACAAATCTTCTGAAATGACTACATAACTCAAATGATTATTTCTTTCTTCATGTTTAAAATAAATGATAAATGCATGAATAGTTGCTTACTGATTATTCCAGTGATGACTTTGAACTTTGTCTTGCAATGCAAATGTATAGTTTTGTGAAAAATCAAATACCTATTACTACAAATTTACTGACTGCTGTTATTTTATAAAATCATGAGGTATTAATTTTTAATTAATTAAATAAATAAGAAACACATTCGTCCGGCTGTTTTTATTAATATTTCTATATTACACCTGTCGGCTATGACCGATTGTACAAATTGTATTTCATCAGCCTTTTTTCAGGATTTCTTCCAACAACTTTTGTTCGAAAAAAGATGAATCTTCGCAATTTTCACAGCGTCGTAAGAAGCAATCTATTGCTTTTCTTTACATATCAAACTATCTGTAATCGACTTTAAATCAATGCACAAATCAAATTTCTTTAAGTTGTGAATAATCAAACTAACATTTTCATGAATAGTACATACACAAACGCATTGTGTTATGTTATGTTATGTTGATATTTAAACGGCAAGTATCCAAAAAATGATTGAAAAGGTTAAAAAAACCCATGGTTATCATTTAATATGGTAATTTTGGCAAGCTGCAACATTAACAACTCCGGACCTACCTACCTTGGAATGCAATTGGATGGTGTACGGTCCACTTCCCATGCAGCGAAGAGCTTCATTGGAACCGGCTTCGTCATGGCCATCCTTTCAAACTTGGTGATTTTGTCGGTCATTTTGCAGGCAATTTTTGTAATCCTGTTTATCTGGCGAAGATTTTTCTCTATTTGCGCTTTTCTGTCTGCTAGGACTTTTTTTTTATATTTATAGGACACGAATACAGCGACAGCCTATGGCGGCGTTGGTAGCGAAACACTATGGCAAGCGACCTATACACTACGATGATATTTATTTCCACCTCAATAATTATTGACCGAGAACCGAGATTTACTTAATATTTGCAAATGATTCTGCACTTCCTTTCTACTACCACTATATACACACACGGAGGCCGATACACGACGCAATGGACGCTTATCGCTTATCTACTTTCTATGGGCGTACACCGATAGGAGGAGGACCCATCATTAATGGCGCTGTAAATAATGCCTTTCCAATCTGCAAAAATCAGCCAGGGAACCAGCACTTCCTTTCAATGCCCACTTCTACTGTACATTCCCAAAAGGGCAGCTGCTAGAAGGGATCTGAAATCTTCAACCTCCCTCTCGAACTCGATGCAGAAAAAAAGGCGGTGGCGCAATTTCTTTTCACTCTCTTATTACACCATTTTTTCTACTTTTGCTTTTTCAATCGCAATTCAATTACGTTTCATGCCACTTTTCTCCCTTATCACAGTGATAATTTTGAAATCATCAGCAATAATTTTCTCTTTTCTCAAACACTTTTTCGTCAAGCTCTTCTTCGTTTTAACACTTTTTCACATACACAGGGGGATCATCTTGTCGGGCTTCTTTTTCTTCTTCGTTTTCCACAGCAGACAGCAATTTAATTATTTTCCTGTTGCCGAACCCAAGAAACCATCCTCCAAATGCGAATAAATTTGAGCATTCTACCAAAAGCTTGCATAAAATAAAATTTTCGTCACATACATCAGCATCACTTTCACGAAAAACAAATCGCGCAACTATTCAGCAGTTGATTCTTCACAAATCTCACACAAAACGGCCAAGAAGGGGTTCCTCCAAACCAATCTCGGTGCTAGCAGCCTGAACTCGCTCGATTCCCGACAACAAAACACATCCGTCCGTACACAAAGGAAATTCGACTACTTATGAATGACCACAGACTACCAACCAGTTTGCTGCCTTTCGCGTTTCGCTTCAGCATCAGCATCGGTTAGCATCGCGGACTGTTAGACAAAGACAACGAATGAACATCATGTACGCGACAGAAAGAGATGCAACCATGTAGAGGAACGAAAACAAAAACTGTTGACAGTGACGTTCGGGTTTTTGATGCGCAATGGTTAAAGCTATATTCAGACTTTAGCGTGCCTGGCGTGTGCAGGCGGGAATTGCGTTGGCATGAGCGAGACAAAAGTATTTGTTGTTTCTCTCATACAAACGCAAATCCCGCCCACGCACGCCAAGCACACTCAGGTCTGAAGATACCTTAAACTAATCTATTTTGACACTCTTGAAAATTGCTTGTGTCAGATTTGTCGGAGTAGTGACAGCAGGAGAAGTCGAAATGTCGAGGGGCTCGTAGAAGCCGATAAAAAATACTTTGATGTCAGATAAAAAAATACAAAATTTACAGTTACACTAATGACGTTTCTGCTCGCCTTAATAGAAAAAAAATAGAAAACGAACAATATAACTGATAGAACTATTCCACGGATGATTCCTCACGAAAACTTGCAATCGGTAGATGAGATCTACCAGTTTTTTTCAATGCTGCTTGCTCCTTTCGTGTGGCAATTCAGCCCCGGGGGCTGATAGGATCAAGTTCAACTTGTTGAAGAACCTCCCATATGTCGATAAGAGGCGCATGTTGAACTCGTTTGTTCAGTTCCTGGAGCTCAATATTATTTCGGGTAATTGGAGGCGGTTGAGAGTTATAGCAACAATCAATACGAAACTAACGATTTTAAATTGGATCACTACTTGACTAGCCTATTGGTCCCAAGCAAACGATTAACGTACCCCATTCTAGTCGAAATTCTAGTACTACGCAATGTTTGTTTTGATTCGCTATGAAAGTTTGACAGATAAAATGATGGGTTATTGGTTTTTCCTATGTTTCGAGGGGTGAATCGATTAGCTTGGGACCGAAGAGAGTACCAGAGCTGAGCCAAAAAGTTGAGCACGTTATTTCGGGACCTTCTAGTCTAAGAGTTACCTCTATGGTTATAGCCATTAAAAAACCTAGCAAACCCGCGTCAGATTGCAGCTCGTACCGACCCATCGCGATGTTATCGTGCATACGAAAATTGTTGGAGAAAATGATCCTTTTTCGTCTGTACAAATGGGTTGAGACGATCCACCTGCTCTAAGCCACACTGTTTGATTTCCGTAGTGGTAAGGGGACGAATGACTGTCTCACTTTGCTTTTCACAGAAATTCAGTTGGCTTTTGCTAAAATCAACAAATGCAATTCCTGTAAAAAGAAAGAACCTGTATGTATATGGTATATGAAATCTATTGTAACCATACAATAGAATTTATTGTATTTACAATAAATCGTATTGTCCACAACAATAAAATAACAAAAGAATTTATTGTTTCCTCAATAGTATCTATGGTAAATAGGGAAATCTACAGTAGAACAAGGGGGTTGTTATGTATCTTAACCGTACGTGAAATCAGTTTTTCCCGAACAAACTTGAGTCATTTACCATTTATTTTATTGTTTTTCTATTGTTTAAAATGTATACTATATAGCACGTATTGTTGATCTATTGTAATAACAATATTTTAAATTTACTTGTATGATAAACATACAATAAGATCGATTGTTGGCAATAGATCACAGAGAACAGACATTGAGGCTCGAACAAAACTTCTCTAAAAACTTTTGTAAAGATTCCTATTTGACTTAAGCGCCACTAACGGCGACTTCCCCACTTAAAAACCCTCTTTGAAAACATGATGGCCCTGGCGTTGCAAAATATACACTAGACACTAAGTGCTGGTAGCGCCAAGTGGCAATTTTCAACTGATAATTCTTCGATATTAGCACCAAATTGTCGAAAGTGAAGGAAATCAGGAGATGCTAGTGCTATGTAACGGCAACGTTTCCACTTAACTTTACACAAGTTTCTGACCAAACTAGGACGTCTGTTCTCTGTGGTAGTAGTGTTGCCATGTGGTACACTGAAAAATTGCAGTTGCAGGTTCGTCACCCATGTTTTCGAGCCGCTCCGTCGGTCACTTCGTTTGTGGTTACTGTGCGCAGCTTTTTTTTTTAGCAAGAATGGACGATCTCCGGAAAAGGTTATATCAACAATCAATACGAAACTAACGATTTTAAATTGGCTCACCACTTTAGTAGCCTATTGGTCCCAAGCAAACGATTAACGTACCCTATTCTAGTTGAAATTCTATTACTACACTATGTTTGTTTTGATTCGCTATGAAAGTTTGACAGATAACATCAGGGGTGTGTGGATTCATGCAGAACATGCAGGGGTGAGTGAAATAGCTTGGGACTGCTTGGGACCGTTGTTCTGGTACTGAGTGAGCCAAAAATAATAATGATTTTCTTCGGGACCCAGTGGTCTTAGAGTTACCTCTATGGTTATATTCCGAAACGTTGGAGAGGCTTACGGATAAGTCAATGCAGTTTTTTCCAATATGGTATTATATTGTCGCGCTTATGTTAAATTCAAATTTGCGCCGCGATGCAACGATTATACACAGGTGTGATACTTTGATAGTATTTTATGGCAGCGGATTGAGGAGCGAATCCTGGATAAAGAGCCACTGTGTGTTTAATCAATGGGCGCAGTCGTACGGCCATAAACAGAAAACAGATGATATAATCCCTTTTTGAGAAACTATCCTGTATTTATGAGAACAAATAACCAGCACCTGCATCCTCCTTTTGAAAAAAATTGTATTTTTACGCATTCTCACGGAGAACAAATCATAGCAGACGCAATTATTTTTCCGGTCAAAATAACGATATTGTTCAATTAATCATGTTTTGTTGTTTTTGACATCATCCACATCCAGAGGGCCAATCACTTTCGAATGTATGGCAATGGTAGGAAACCATTTGGAAATGCGTGAAAGTTTTCAGTTTTTATTTATTATTGTCTTTATGGGCAGTTTTAGATGCACAAAAATTGCACGAGTACATTACTATGGTGATAAGGTAAACACTCGTTTATTTGTTTCCTTCTGTGAAAGTATGTTTAATCACAAATCGTGGATTTTCTGATATTCTCCATACTGCAAAAATGATTTTCCTACCACTGAAGGGGCGACATCTCTCGGATCTTCAGTATAGCTGCTACTCAAATCATATAATTAATTGTTTTAGAGATAACCCGAAACTATAGTTGATTTGACTATATATAGAGGGCAACAACTAAAGTCCATAGTTGGCTCCTCGGTTAGCTCAACTATATTTTTCAGTAGATGAACTAACATCAAACTTCAAAATACAACTATGCTTTAGTTGATTCAAGAAAACTATTGATAGGAAAGCAAAATATTACAATGTTTATTAAACAAACTACTCTTCATTATCGACATATTAAGGAAGTTTGTGTTGCTTCTTTATCGATCTCAAAAACACAAATGCAAAATAATAAAAAAGTGAACAAGAAGATTCAACTTAGATTTGAACCGTGTTCATCTGCGTGAGAGCCAGCTATCTTATCGCCTACTCTACGCATCACAAGTTAAAGGTATGTGGATTTATGATGATCACTTGAAACCAAATTAAATAAATACATTACATTTGACGGTTGTTATAATTGATCAAAGTTATAGTTGAATTGAGTATAAGATGAACAGTTGAATCTATTAGGTAGATATAATTGAGATGACGGTCAAATTCATGTTGGATTAACTATTGGTTTCTACACACAAAGAACAAAAATTGTTGCAATAAAAATAATGCATTTTAAAATTAAAAGTTTCGCTAATTTCGTAGTTTCAACTACGAAAATATTCAAATGAAAAGTTATTGTTTTGTTTTGAAAGTGTTTCTTTTACTCTCGACTCGTTATTTTAAAAGCGCATTCTTTTAAAATAAAAGTTGATCAACTTTCAATAATACCTTTTCATAGTGATGTTTTTGGCAACACTTGACCTCCATTTGGCGCTAAATTTGAGTTGACGTCGATTGATGGAGGAATGGTTTTGGCTGGCTTCCATATATTCCTATAGGAGTTTTTTGAGTGTGGTAATTGATTCAACGGTAAGTTTAATAAACTACGAAACCATAATTGATGATGATGAATCTATTTATGAAACGTAACCAATAATTTCATCTCCACAGATCAACGTATTTAACTCGGTATTCAAGGCGCTTAGTGAAGAGCTCCATTCTGATCTTGAATTTTCTCATCTTCCGTGGGAATAACCTGACGATTCCTACGGGATCAACTGACATGGTGGAAGTAGAACGGAGAATCATTGTTGCAATTCCAAATATCTAAACCACTGAAATAATGGTCAGCGGATGTTTCATCTTTCTCCTGCACACAATTCATCCACATGGAAGTGGGAACAATTTTTAATTCCAAAGGGACGAATGAGTTGCACATTTTGCCCGACGACGTGTAAAGGGTTCCGTACTTGACATATATAAATTAATCCGTTCGATAACTTATATACATATATGTTGAACCCGTACTTGAATTTCAACTGCATTAGTCATACGACAACGGTTTTGAACAACCATCTACTAGCCCTGTTCGTCTTGAGAATGGTACAATTAGCAATTATGGGTGATTGGAGCTATACCTGTATGCAGCTTATAGATTAATGTAAGTATTTACAAGAGATAAGTAAAGGTTTCCAATATTGATTTGTATCTTTCTCATTTGCAGTCTAAATACCCGGAACAGGTACACACAAAAAACGAAAATTGTATCGGTAAAAATATTAACCTTTCAATTTAAAAGTACCCCAAAATTTGTTACTTGAACTATGAAAATATTTGAAACAACAAGGTTATTTTCAATCCAAAAGTAGATGTTTTGATTTTAACTTGTAGTTTTAAAAGTGCAGATTTTCAAATCAAAAATTGTTTTACTGTCAAAACAACTTCTTCGGGGGTAGGTTTCTACCCATTTCTGGATAGTTTTTGAATAACGTGAGTAAATAAAAATAAAAACGCGCAAAATGAGAATT